TTCAAATTTAAAGAAAAAATTCCATAATTTATTATTTTAAATATATTGATTTATTTCATTAGTTTAAATCATGCAATATATAATCGAAATCGTCAAGGTAAATTATGGAATCGTTTAGCACTGATACAAGAAAATTATATTAAAATAAATGGTCATCAACAATGTTTAAATACAATATATGAAGCATTACAAGATCCATATGTTAAATTAGGTGATCGTCTTGCATTATGTGAACGAGCAAGAAAATTATATTCACGACCAAAATCAAAAGGAATACTTCTAGCAGAATGGATAACAAATGAAGAAGAAAACTTAATATGGACTGTACCAATGCCAAAACAAGTTAGATTTGATAATGAAATACAAAAAAATAAAATAAAATTTTTTGTTTTATTTCAATAAATTAGATTGAAGTTACTGGATGTTTATTAGCAAATGATGCTCGAATGGGTAAAGTAACATATACAATACAAGATCCAATTGATGGTTCAATTCAATTTTGTACTGTTGAACAATTAGCTATTAATCATTATCGAACAAATGAAGATTATACTTATGGTTAAATTTGCCGTTTTTTTTTCTTTCTAATATAAATCTTATTGAAATATAATATTTAAGGTATTCATTCGGAAGAAGCTATTATTCAAACATTAATTGGTCTTTTATTTCTTGATTTAATTTATACATTACCAGCACCTAATCTACTTATTGATATATTTCAAACAGAACCTCTCGATTTTCATACAGATACTTTTTATAAATCTCGTCAAAATCAAATTGATGAATGAATTCGTCAGCTGAATTTTGAAGAGGTAAGAAAAAAAAACAAAATCAGGGATCGTTTCAGCATACATATAGTTCTTATGAAATATTAAGCTATAATAATATATGACGAGCATAATGTTTTTTTTTTATCCAGATTTTTCTCTTCTGGAAAGACGAATACCTATTTTTGAGGACACAATAACTACAAACGCTGGAAGGACCAACCAGATTTTCAGAGAAGCGCCGTTCCGTTGGCTCCCAAACCGGATAAACATATGTAGTTTGACCATAATAATGAAATGAAATATACGCTTAGAAGAGTTATAGAATCAAAATCACCAATAAAAAAAAACCGATTATATAGCCTTATAAAAATTTTCATTATATGAAATCTAAAAACATGGTTGTTATTCATTGAATAAAGTAATCATTCTTGCTAACTGATTAAAATCATAAAAACCTAATCACTAACGAGAGAAGATCTTCAAGTGTGATTTGTCAATCGAACTTCTATTCCGTCCATAAGTACGCCACGACGAAACTAGCAGAAGCCTATAAGAGTTCAGCATCGTGTGCTATCTTTCTCAAGTTATTACAATTTTCCTACACTTTTATCTCTGGCAAGATATTGGACTAAAAATCAATTTACGAAATTTCAATCTAAGATTTTGTCCATAGTTAAGTCTCATATATATTAGAATATCTTGAAGGTTTCAGCCTGAATGAATATGCTGTTCTTGAGATATCGAATATTGAAAACTAGATTTCAATCTTCACAGCATTCTAATGTACACAAGATCTACCTATAGGCAAAATTTCAGGTTGACATTCCATAATTCGATATGTTCATCAATATCTTGACAGAAATAAAAATAACTCAATAAAATTGTAATAATTTGAGAAAGAGAATGCATAGGAACAAAGCTTTATACACGTCTATTAGTCTATTTGAAGTTGACTTATGTGCAATATATTAGCTCGATTCACGCATCACATCTGAAGTTCATCTCTTATAAGTAATTAAAATTATCTTTAGAATATACAAGATATTGCTGAAAAAAATTGGAATATGTACAATTTAACAATGAGTTCAGTTGTAAATTGGGAATTATTTCCAATAAAATCAACATTATTAGTAAGAAATTAAATAATATTAATTTTAAATTTCTAAAAATAAATTTTATAGGATGCTTTAAAATGTTTAACATCAGAACAAATTCAATCTATATCAACTTATACATTTGTACATAATCAAGCTGTATGGAAAGGTTTTCCAGATTTATTTGTATGGAATCCAATATTAAAAAAATGCAAAGTAAATTGAAAAAAAAACAAAGTTTTATGAAGATTTTTATTTTTTTTTTTGATTAGTTTGTTGAAGTTAAAAGTCATAATGATCGACTTTCATATCATCAAATAGTTTGGCTTGATAAATTAGTTGAATTTAAAATTGATTGTGAAGTATGTAAAGTTAGTGGTAAGTTTATTTTCATACAAAAAAAAAATATTCTCAATATGGAAAACACTTTTAATTTAAGCAATAGGTTCAAAAAAATCATTACAACGAACATCATCGACTATTGAATTAGATTAAATTTTCTTTGGTTTTTTTTTCTTATTAAAATAAATAAAATTTCATTGTTAGATGTTTCAAAAACAAAAAAAATTTGTTCGAAAAAAATATATTTATGATTTTAGAAAAAAAAAGAAAATGTTTGCAAATGATGATGAAGATGATGATTATAATAATAATGAAAGTTATGACGAAGATCAACCACAAGGTTATCAAGCATTGTTAGATCCAGATGATGAAGAGTAAAATAAGAAATTATTTTTTAAATTATATTCAATAATAAAAAAAATTATTTTTTAAATTATATTCAATAATAAAAAAAATTATTTTTTATGTGTTTCAGAACTTTCACAGTAGAAGAAGAGGAAGATGAAGTTGATGATCATGAAGAAGAAATAGAATCTATTGAAGAAGAAGGAGAAGAACAAGTGCCTGTTGATGATGGTCAAATAAAACTATTCTCTTGTTCGTTATGTTCTGTATCCTTCAGTAAATTCGAAGTATATCGTGAACATTATGTATCTACAGAACATCGATATAAACGACGTGATGAAAAGAAACATCTTAGAGTTTGTTATCGATTTTTGATATGTATAAAAATAATATTTTCTATTTGATTTTAAGGAAGGATATGTCATTGAAACATTACCAATTGAAATATTTGTTAATTTATTACTTTATAATAAAGTAAAAAATATATAATTAATATTAGAACAAATAAAAAAATTTATTGAAAATTCTTTAGATACCATTTGAAAGTATTCAAATTGATATTCAACCTATTGATTTTAGTGTAAGTGGTACATTAGAATATAATAATATTAAATATGAATATCAACATGTATCATCACTTAATGATTTATATCAATTACTTATTAATAAATTTAATCAAGATTATGAAAAACATCAATTAAAAATGTCACCACAAAGTTTTTTTGTTGCACGAGGTAGAAAAAAAAAAATTATACAATAAAATGAACTATATATATATATATATATATTGAAAATTTTTAGATAGTAGTTGAAAAGATATAGATAATGTATGGACTGTATTACGTTATTGTGATGATACAGAAAAATCTGATGAACAAATTATTAAAGTAAGATAAAAAAAAACTTTTTTTATACATATTTTTTCGTTTATTCAATGAAATTGCGTATTTTATGATTTCGACAATATAGAACATTGTTCGATCTATGTACAGTTCTTGACAAAAGTAACTATTCCTTGAAATGCTAGTATTCTTTATGGTAATGGGGTGATGTATCAGGTGCATATATGCAACAATAAACCCTGATTGCAAGTATCAACCCGTCGGGTGCAAAATTTTCGGACTCAAACCCGATTCACCTGTACTAGAATTTCTTTTGTAGAAAACCTATTCAGCAGAAACATGAAATCAAAAATTTTTGGCGTGTCATTTTGCTAGTCCACAAGCTGCAACTGTGTTTTTCTAGTTCTAATGTTAATCTCATATATGCCTAATTTATTATCATCAAAGTTCGCTTGTTTCTAGAAAAAAATTGTCCCCGTATGTAGATTCAAAGAAGCTGTCTGATTCGATGATTGCGACATCTACTAGATTTAGCATGACTGAAATTTTTTACATACAGATACATGAGACAATGTTTTCGAGGTGTTCACTAACGATCAGGTTCTGTTTACAAACAGAATCAGTAAAAAAAATAAAAAATAAAAAAAAACTCTATGTAATGTCTTTTTTCCAATTATTTGATAACAGTGGACTTGTACATTTGAGTTCTACAAGATTATTTTGAACAGTAGGTACAAATTAATTTTTTTAGAAAGTCTTAGATTATTGTGTATACAAAAATGTTGAACCAGAACGTGAACGTTTAATAGCACATTCAATTCAAACATGGCGTATGTTTCATCGTCAAGAAACTAAACCAGGTCTTTGGTTAGTAATCAAAAATAAATTTCTTGTTTGTTAAAAATATATTTAATTTTCAGGTGTGATATTTGTAAATAATGTTTTCGTAAACGAAAAGCAATTATTTGTGTTAGTAAATGATAATACAATAAAAAAGTTTTGCTTTTTTTTTTAAAAAAAGCATTTTGAAACAAGTGAAAAACATGACAATAATTTAAAACATCTTCCACCATATCGACGAGCTGTTTAACATGTAAATTTTGCAAAGAAATTTTCATTTCAACTTTAAAGTTTTTTTTTTGTATTTCTTATTTAGAGTTTATTTACTAGTCGTTCATTAAATTGAGTTTATTCCAATTGATAAATTGAATTATTATCGAACACGAGTTAATGCTTATCGAATTCCACCATCAAATAAAACTATTAAAAATGCATATTATTGCACATTTTGTAAAAGATCATATGAATCAGCATATACACTTGAAAAAGTACAGAATTAAATTTATTAACAAAAAAAAAAACAAGATTTAATATTCTTATTTAGCATCTTGGTTGGAAAGGTCATCGAGATATATTACGAAAACGTCGACAACATGAACTTGATAATTTACTACGTCTTGTTGTAAATATATATATCAAAACGATTATTTTTGTATTTTTTCATAGAATCTTTTTTTTTTTGGTTTTGTATTTTATAGACTTATTTAAATTTTAATCAATTAACACATGAACAACGTAATGGTGGTATTCAACAAATGGCTAAAACATCAGATGAATATCGATTAAAATATAATCTTGAACCTATAACAATTGAAAGTATTCAAAATGATATTATGCATTTTGATACACAACTTGCACAACAACTTATGCAAAATATTCATAATCAACAAGGAAATAATAATAATAATAATCGATTTAATTATGGTTATAGTCGAGGTCGAGGACGTGGACGTGGACGTGAAAGGCAATCATTTCGTGGTCAAACATTTCGAATACGACCTAATTTTCATCAACAAAATGCACAAAATTTCAAATCAGGTAGCTGAAAATATTTAAAAAACAAGATAAAAGGCCTTGCCAGATTTAGTGATCTATCCCAACCGAGGATGTTGTGTATGTGGTTTTGTAGAACAAATTCCGGCGCATCGAATCGTATATAAGAAATCAAGTTCTATGAAAACTTTGATGTGTTAAAGGTCAATACATTGGTTATAATACTTGCAGAATATTATAGAGTACTCATAGATATTGTGATTCATAGGATATTTTAAGACAAACTTATGTAAAGTCTTTTTTTGTTAACACAATTCGATACAGTTATAGGTGCAATTCAATTTTCTAAGATCTAGGTTATTTCTTGACTATGAAGGATGTAAAATAAGTTCTGATTCCTTATATTGTTAATGATAGTTGTAACACTTTTTCTTGAGGTAGATAGCTGAAATTTTTATCACATGTACATCTAATCAAGATTTTTAATTTCTAAAAGTTTCAACTCTCTAGTGTCAATCTTCTGCTTTGTTTTATCGGGTTTGCTATGTTAGATTGACAAAATCACTTGTTAGTATATATAATATATATATATATATATATATATACAGTAAAACCTCTATAAGTGAACACCTCTCGATAGTGAACACCTCCTTATTCTGAACACTCTCAGGTCCGACGGAGCGATTTCTGCTGGAAATGCACCTCTCGATTGTGAACACCTCTTTATTCTGAACTTGAACACTTCTTTTCCACTCCCTCTAGGTACTATAACCTCTCTAATGTGAACATATGTACATATTTATTTTCCTCTCTCTGTTACGTAATGCTCCACTTCTTTTCTTTTTTGTTCAGCTGTTACATATATGTCTTGTACGTCTGACCTACTTTTCCTAACTAACGTCTGTTCTGAATAAGAAGGTCATTGTCTCAATTCGTCCTATTGTTCATTTTCTAAACAGACGAAGAAGACTCTCTACTTTTTTTCTAGTTCGCCTAATTATCTCTCTCCTATATATAATTTTTGTTTTTCTAATAAACGCAGTCAAATATTCATTAAAAAAATGTCATCACAACATGATCTTACTTTGCAACAGACAGTTGAATTAAATAATGAATTAAAATCAAAGTTAACTAATGTTCATATCAGTTCAAAAACAAATAGACAAACGACATTAGAAGACTTTTTTAAACAAAACTAAAGCCTGTCTTGTATCTAAAAATTTTTAACTACAAAACATTTAAATAAAAATAAATGAATAAAAAATAAATAGCTCTTGCTTGACTGAAGACTAGTACAGCATTAGACATTCGGAATTTTTTCTTCTCTTCTCAGCAAAATGTGCGTCACCTCTATAAAGTGAACACCTCCGTATAGTGAACACTTTTGAAAAGTCCCAATGGTGTTCACATTAGAGAGGTTTTACTGTATATGTTTTTTTTTATATATCCCCGCGATACAACATAGACATACAGTTTATATATCGACCACAACAAAAGAGAGAGAAAAAGAAAAAGATAAAAGAAAGGCGAGAACGCACAAAATAATATGTACTCGAATATATAATATAAGTGGAACAGTTCGATGTCCTCGACTAAACGAAAAGATGAATATAAACAAAGAAAAGATAAATGTAAAGATGAATATAGATAAGAAAAGAAAGATATCTACCTATCGAGGTGATCGATAGAAAAGATAACGAATAATAGTTCTAGGGCTTCAAGTCTGTCTGACTTGACATCTAGCTATAATCAATGGTGAAATATATTGCCGAGATTGAAATACATAAAATAATACAAAAATAGGTCTTTCATAATAACTAAAAAACAAAATGGTTAATGATAGTTTTAATACTTTTTCTTGAGATAGAGAGCTGAAATTTTTATCACATATACATCTAATCAAGATCTTTACTTTCTGAAAGTTTCAGCTTTCTAGCTATAACTAATGGTGAAATACATCAGAGAATACATAAATTTTCTTACTTTTTTTTTTGCATTATTTTCACTGTCAAAATAAAATGAAAAAAAAGTAAGAAAATTTATGTATTTACGAGAAATTGATTCAAATAAAGAAAATTCAACTTATCAACGAACTTGGTAACCATTAGATTTGTTCTTTTTCTGGTATCAGTTCTTTTTTAAGCAAATTAGTTTTGAAATGTGAATGTGGAAAAATCATAATATTATGATTATGTTTTTTTTTTCTTATCTAATCTTGGATGAGAAGCGAATCAACTCTGTTCGATTTGTTATCATTTTTAATTTGGTAGATGAAGAGAAGATGAAACAAATAAGATGTTTAATCATTTGTTTATCTTCTACACTTTATAGAATGTTTATTCTTTTTAATCGTTCTTGTCGTGTTGTATCTGATATACAACATTTTCTAGTTGGCACACATCATTGTGCAAATCGTCGAAAAAAAAACAGTCAAATCAGTAGCTAACTTGCCTTACATAAATAAAGAAATCTAAAGATATAATATGGACGAGAAAAGAAAAACGAAAGAATTTCATTTCCATATAATATGACTAAACGAATAACTTACTACATCCTATCGAATATCTATCGATACACGTATCGTGTAATTGTCTGAACAGAAAGAAAATGACGTCAGAATGAAGAAGTGAATAGTCCGCAATGAATATTTGTTTGCTTTTCTCTTCAACAATCATTTATATCAGATAATCTTTTTATTTATATGCGAGATAATCTTTTTATTTATATACGAAATAATCTTTTCATTTCTTGATTTTAGATACAAATGAATGCTAAACAAAAACAAAAAGTAAAATGTATCTTTATGCATGTTCATAATTTTCTTATAAGAAACATTTTCAGGTCTTCAAATGAAAGAGTAAGAAAAAAAAAATTATAGTTTTGCATATAATTATACTGCATCTTATTATAGAATGTATCAACAATGTTTGAAATTGCTCGTGGTACTAATCAATCAATAGGTGTTACTTATCAACATCAAGGAATTACTATTGAAACAGAAATGGTCATCAGAAAAAACGTAATAAGCTTGAATGTTAAAGTAAGTAAAATATTTTTGCATGAAATGTAATAAAAGTATTATTTTACCAAATTTCAGAATGATGAAATTCAATTGGATGAATCATCTGTTCCTTTCAATTTAGATGTTTATGTAAAAAAATCCAAAACAGGATTTGAGTAAGATATTATTGTTCTAAAACAACATTTGTATTTTTCTATTATAGAATAACAAATACAATTGAACTTGATGAATTATTAAAAGATCTTATCAAACGAATCACCATCAAATTAAATCAAGTATGTTTTTTTGTCTTTTCAAAAATAATTTGAAATTTTTTTTTTCTTTTTTTGTTTAGGATATATATTGTGATGAACGAATGTCATCTAATTTTCATGGACAATATGGACCAAATACAGATGATCCATATGGACAATTGCCTTCACATCATCCACAACCTCAAATAGTAAGAAATCAGAATGAAATACAAATGGAATATCGTAATGGTAAAGCTGAACATATGTATGGACAACCACCATCATCATTAACATCTACAATAGTTTTAACATCTGAAGGAGGTGATTTGGGATCGTATGATAATTTATTTTCATCTAGAAATAATAAAAATGAAGTACAATTAACAGCATCATCATCACAAATGTATTATAATGAATTTGATGACATTGGTATAATTATTTTCAAAAAAA